TCTACCAGACGATTGTTATAGCGCGAGCTCAAAACAAGAAGACAAGCGCTAACTTCCTGCTGAAGCGTTCGTCTTCTTGTCCGCTTGTCGTTGTTCTGAGCTCGCGCTATAGCGATCGTCACGATCCACCAACCAGCCCCAACCGCCACGCGTCAATTACATTACGCTTCCGCAGATGAGTCAAGTTAGCCTTGGACTAAATGGTCCACATACGACATTCAGTGTTACTCAGCGGCGGATCTCGGTGGTGATGCAAGCAAATCAGTACAGCGCAAAAAAAAAAATGCTCCCACGTCCCCAAAGGGAATCGTGAGGAAATGCGAATGCGTTTCTTGCGCAGAGAGAGGGTACCGTTGCCTTGATAGGCGCCCAGCCAGCGAGCGGTCGAGTGGGGCGCCAGCGTTCTCGGCGTGGGTGTTTCGCAGCGGCGTCTCGAGCACACATTTCTGGATGTTCTTGAGAGGCGCCCAGCCAGCGAGCGGTCGATAGTGAAGCGCGAGTGGATGGGAGAGTGGGGCGCGGGGAGGACAGAGAGCGAATGTTGAGAGAAGGAGCGCTGAAGCACTGCACCTACCGTGCCTTACACTCTCGCACCACATGCTCCCGCTGCTAGGGGCGAGGATAAGCGCGCGCGCGCGCTTGCAGCTATTGCTATGGGAGGGAGTGAGAGCGGGGAGATAACACCCGCCGGCGCGCAGACACCGTCCGCGGACAACGCCGGATGCCTGACATAGCCTTAGACAGAAATGCATTCTTGAGAGTTGTAGCAGAGCTGACGGGCGCTCTTCCCCCCACCTGGCTTCTGCGTTCCCGGTAAACGCGCCGCTCGCTCCTAGGACGTTCTCAGAATCTGTGGCCCACACATACCTGTCACGCACGACCGCGAAAAACACAGCGTGACTTGACTGACGCGGCGAAACACGTAGTACGAAAGGCGCACCACTTCACTGTAGTTTGCTACATGAGGTATTCTCGATTTGGCTGCCCTATCTGCACTAGAGTTCAATAGTTCTGCCCTTTGCACCTCGATTTGAGAAGCGCTTCTTGTGCCACCTGCAATTCTGCACTCATTTGACGCCGTGCTGCTGGAGCTGGATACTTCAGCGCCAGCATCCCCGCGAGTTTTTGTCTCGTGCAAGTAGTGCAAGGTGTGCGGCATGGCTGATCGACCCTGTGCGCTCGATTCGACTGCTGCATGCCGAAACCACCGTGTCATGCTGCACTAACACTAGAGGAACTGGCGCGGCACTGGCACGACACTTTTGTGAACTATACGTCCAGAAAGTGCAGCCAAATCGAGGAGACCAGCGGTTTCTAGTTTCAGGCCACCGTTTACCGAAAATGACGTCATTTGATGATGCCGTCGTGTGACTCATAATGATGTCACAGGCGATCTGTGATGTCATCGCTTCCTCGCAGGAGGTCATGCGTTTTTTTTTTCTCTTTTGCTGGTCATGGAAGAAAACCAGAAAAGGAGCAAAAAATGTCGCATTTTTGCAATTTGGTTGTAAAAAAGTGATTTTTCGTTATGTACTACGTTCCCCCCTTCCCCTCTGATTATTTTCTTATGTCGTGACGCCCTGCGCTTTTTTTTCAAGTTCTTGCATTGAAACTTTTCTCGCGCGATGTGTGACGTCATAGTGTGGCCCGCGAGCTTGCGCATCATGTCTTGCCCATCTCGGAGGCCATGCTAGAGCATCATGTACTGTCAACACCAAAAGTTTGCGGAATCTGCAGCGCGTGGCGGAAAACTTCACTGCAGCGCCTCCTACCGTGACGTCCACCATGGTGTTCAGGTTATCGGCCACGGTTTGGGAGATTAGATCCTGCAGAAGCGCGTTGTTTAATCGCGTCGTTGCTAATCGCCGAGGCCGCATGCGGTGGCTCGACATCACGCCGTGGCGTGATAAACGCAAGGATCGAGGATTAAAAAAATTGCTAGAGTGGAAGCCCCCGCAATGTGTTGCCAGCAGAAGTGAAGCCAGCTTTTGCCACTGCCAATATGGCGGGAGCATGTTCTTTTCTGATAGTGCCCACTTAGAGATCAAGTGACTTTAATATATCAGTGTAAATTCTACGTTAGTTCCATATTAAAGATAGTTGTTCTCGACGAAATAACACACAGAAACGAGTATGGATGACTGAATCTTCAAAGAACTTTGCCTCCAACTAGAGGCTGTCTAAGGAAAACTAGTAACACTAAGACGCACTTGGAACACTATGTGACCCGAAAAAGTTCCACATTACGTTCGTTGGGCGTGTGAGAGAAACACTCTGTTCTTAATCGCTGAACGGTGATACTTTATCATTCCCGTGGTAAGATGGCCGCCGCAGTGCCATCTTGCCAGAGTCACGGCTTCACTCTTAGGTGATGATTTCCACTCCAGAAATTTTTTAAATCCTGCTTGGGTAGACTGCGCAGCAGTGCAGTTTTCTTCGACTCCACCACGCGCTGCACTTCCCGCAATCTTTTGCTGTTGACAGTACACAGAATTGGGGTTACTAATCGGAAAGCAGACGGCACACACATTGGAGGTGGTGGTTGTCCACAGGAAACTTGCTGCAGCCAAATTTTTTTTTTACATTACAAATCCTGCATCATTAATTCCTTGCTTTTGGTTTCATTTCTAGGTAGCTTGGTTATCAATCAGATGTGCTGTGTTTCATGTTCTATCACTCTAAATCAATTAGCCCTACTCAATTAGCCCAGAATCAATTAGCCCCATTATTAATAGCGAATAGCAGTTGAAAACACTGGTGCAAGCATTTCGATTTTGGCAGAAACTAGAACATAGGATACTCATAATTTTTGACAGCGGGTTTTTCAGGCGGAGCCTCGTAGCTTACGTCTTCGGATGGTAACTCAGATGCATGACAATGGTGCAGTCAAGGAACATATAAATATGGACGCCTGATGTGCAGACGGCACATTTTAAGTAGAATGTTGTTGTATACCGGAGCGGATATACGGGTCATGGATCTCAGTCAGCACCACTGATCTCTTCTCGGTCTCTGTTGTAGGTCTTTGAGGGGATGGGGCAGTGTGTCTCTATCGGCCGTGCGTATTGCAGTTTTATGTCCCGGAGCATTGTATATTTGCAAACTGTGCTTTATCAAAGGTGCTTCCCTCACCGCTCTTAGCATGTTTTCATTACATCTACATGTGGAAGGGCATTCATTGTTCGCTGTATGGCAGCTATACTGCTTTCACCAGTAACATGACTTTCACCAGTAACATCAACAGGGGCCATGCTGCGAAGGCCACACAGATGGTTACAAAGTCATGCGTCCACAAGAGATGCACACTCACTCAACAGGAAATGTTTGTTGGGTGATTTAACAGTAAACGAAGCACACGTGTATCATATCAAAGTGAACTTTTAAAGATGTGAAACTTTTCTTTCTGGCTGTTTTCTCATTCGTTTTGACTCGCTCAATTTTGCACACCGGCCCCTTCTTTCTTCCCAACCCCCACTGCCGTGTCTGCTGGTGCCCTTTCCTCCACTTTTGTTGAGTGGGAAGAGAGAGTATCATATGCATAGATACACTAACGAAATTAGCTTCAGCCTTGAAGACGACAAGTCTGTTTGTCGAAACGTCGGCTGCAGCAGCACCCTTTGTTCTCAAATTTTTTCGTCTCGCACAGTAACATTGAAAGCAAGGCCAAGAGATTTGAGAAACATTGTACGACAGTTCAGCAACGTGTATGCGTGACTAGGCGGACTTCGCTGCCGTTGAAACGGAGGTAAATGGTGGTAGCTGGAACACTCTATCATCTAGTGGTTGATTTGCATGTAGCAGCACTCCAGTGCTGGATATTCAACAGATGCGCCAATGTTGTGTATTTTGGCGTGGCACGTAGTGTAGTTCACTTATGTGGTGTTCATAGAGAGCTAGACTCTTCTTATCTCTGCTGTAAACGCTGAGCCACGAAAAAAATCTGGTATCTTGTGACGGCGGCAGCAAGCTTATCAGGTGTAATGTTCAGGTTACGCAGATAGAAAAGCGCGCACGTATTACCCATCATGTCAAAAGCATGTTTCGCGACGCTTTCGAGGCAGTTTGTAATGAATGCAAGTTATTTTCTAAATTTTAAAAGTAGCATTGGATCTCACTGAATCTCACTATCTATTATTGATGACGTCCTGATAAGCTCCGGTATGTTTATGCGACCAATAGAAGTAATTTATGTTTTCATCTACGACTGGCACTGTGGAAGTAGAACTTTCGCAAGCAAACGCTGTCAGCAAATCATGTGAGACTTGAAATAGTGCTATTGTGCTGTGTTTTAGATATAAATAATATTTATGACATACTTATATTTGAAATAGTGCTCAGATCGATGGGAGTTTTGTTTACTGGAAAGTGAGCGCGAGTGTAGAATACAAATACAAAGTTTGCCATATTACAGGTAGTTCTATTTAAACAGTAGTTTTGTTTAAGAGATTGCCATTTATTAAAGGTATGCTGTATTGTTAATGTAACGTATATGACGTTTTAATCTAATCTAATAACATCCTCAAACTCCTGCAGTGCGGAATCGAATTCAAACATTGTTTTTTTGTGCATGTCAACTCCTTTGCAACACGGGGCCTCACAAAGATTTCTACGGGTAACCAAAATTTCCAGTCATTTTGTGGGGGAAGCCATTTAACACGTCAACTGTGGCGTGGGCCACCGGTGGGTCATGAGCGGGGCTTATGTTATGACCATGCGTCTGCTCGCTGATGCAATAATTTAATCAAATATGAACGTAGAGGTAAGATTCTTGTCACTAAAGGTTAAAGTAATTAGAATCAGTTCTTCCAGGTGTTAGATGCCATGTCCCACCAGTGACCCACCGGTAATGGGTTACGGCGCACATGGAAGATAGGCCTAGTGGCTCCACTGGTAGGTTACTCCCCACATGAAACGAGACCTCAAGGAAGCTTGCCACAGCGAACATGTTCTGGACATCGCGTTTGCTCTTTCTCACCTGGACCTTTTCGACTTTCGTGCAGGAACGACGCCGTGTCTGAATACCGTCTCCCGCCGGGCGGCACCAGCCAGAACGCCATGTTCGTCAAAATGAGGGAGCCCCTTGCGGACGATGTCTTCAGCCCCGAATCATCACCCAAGCGGCTGTGCCTTGACACCGAGTCGCGGAACTCTTGCGACGTAGACACCATAGCCCGCATCATGACACCCACGTGAGTGGAATTCCGGTGTTCAGTCAGTGTGGTTCGCGGGTTTAAAAACATTGTTACTAGATGAAACACGCATGCTTTGTAGCTTTGTTTTTCATCATATCTCTATCTATTACTGATGACGTTCAGATGAGCTCCGGTATGTTTATCAGCTGCTTGAGGTTCTGAGTTAATGTCATATACCAAATGTACCAGCTAAATAAGACTATGATGTGAAAATAGAAACATGCACTCTAGGAAAGTTGTACATAGGAGTTTTGCACGAGACGTCATCCGCTCGAGGTGCTAGCGGCGTTTGCCCCTGCCTTCGTGTCAGTGGTCTGGGCGCGCCCTTTTTAAGCAGTGAGTGGCAGTGAAAGGTTGTGTGTATGCCGCTACATATGATACCAACATGGTGGAATGCGACTGAGTGTTTAGGCGCATAATTTTCGAGGTCCAGCAAAACTTCGCTACAAACATAATGTTCATCTTTGCGGCGGAGATCGACCTGTTCGACTTCAGCAGCGATGAAGCTGTGTATGATGTGAAGTGTTATTCCCACATTGAGCTCACGGCCATTAAGGACCACCTTGTTGACGGCACAAGCTTTGGTACAAGGAACTAGCCTAAAGTCTATATATTGATGGGTGCCCACAACTATGTGACTAGCGGATGGGTCTAACAGCACCGAGTTAGAGACATCGTAGACGGTCGCCGTGTTGTCGTCGGAAACGTGGCTGGTTCTTCTTGCTTAGTGCTCAGACGAATAATATTTTCTCTGCCGTGTAGTCGCTTCATTAATTCTTTCAAGTGAGAGGGTTTCATGGTTTGCAAGAGCATGTGAGATGATACAATGGGCATAGTTCGTTTGTGGTTGAGCCCCACCGCTTGCGATCGAAAATGCTCTTTGCTGCAGGGTCCAACGACACGTGTTGGGCAATTGCACAACCAGAAATTTCATACGGTTTCGATATTAACTGATTAAGATTAATGTGATATCACTGTTTATGTGCTTAGCTGACCATTATCTTAAACAGTCAGCGACGCAGTGCGCATGAGTAAACGTCAAAGCATGGGTAAATGAGAAAGCACTGCAGCATGCTCACACTGTGTCGCTGACTGTTTACTAACACACGGAAATCGGAAACTCAGCGCAACTACCTGAATGATACTGCTGATAAGCAGTGATCGCGGAGGTAGTGCGCGCGCTCTTTTCCTGCTGCACAAACAAAGCTTCATAGCAAGTACGTCTCGAAAACCTAAGTTTTTTATCACAAAAGCAAACTTCTATAATGTTGAATAGGTTCTGAACACTTATCGGAAACGAAATGCTCAATGCACATGCGATATAGTGTGTGGTTGAGCTATCCAAACCTTTTCGATTGGTTTACAATCACTTTAGGTATGGAAAAAAGCCGACATCAGACGCATTCTCATGACTAGGCTTCTTACTTGAGTGGTTGTAGCAATCAAATACGGCACAATTCGCCATTATGATCGCAGGAATCTCACATCGGCGCCTGTGAGTGTACATTCTGCTACTTCTTGCCAGGGGCTGTCGGGAGAGTGACCACAAAGATGGTTTGCACAGAGCCATGCCCCTGTGCAACCCTCCTATATAGTGGTAGTCATATATGCATTCAACTAGGCTTAAGCGAATAGTGAATTTTAGGTTCAAAGCGAATTCAAAGCAAATTGTGCTTTTGGTCCAATAATTCCAACAGTGTATATATATCGCATATTATAAAGAGATAGGGGCATATTGGTCGTGACCAACCTAACCTGCACAATACTTTTTTGAAAATCCAAACAACGCCTGTGCAAATGCGTTTTTTTTTTTTTGCATCCAAGGAAGTGAAAGAACTTGGTATAGTAGCAGGATTTGACTTTCATAGAATGCAAGTGATGGCTTGTAAAATATCTTGTTTTAAAATTTGCTGTACTTAGAGCATAAAAGTCAGTATAACAAGCTTTTAAACTGAAAAAAAAAAAATGAATTGATGTGAGAATAATATCTTCATATAACCTTCAAGTGGGGCTTCGCGGCAGTGCGGAATTTTCTTGATTATGTTTTCACTTCTCAGCGTGACTTCACTGCAGCGAAGCCACTTTTACAAAAAGTTACATGTGAACTAATATATGCTTAGTTAGGTGCTTTCACTCTTTAGCACCCAATCACTGCAATGAAACGACCTTTACAGGTTGTTACATGCTGGCAAACAAATATGCATCTGTTTGCTCGTCTAGAATAATTCAAAATTTTCGTTAACATAAATTTGATTTGAAGTGGATTTGAATATGGATTATTCGTTCGAATATTCGAACATTCGCCCAAGCCTACACACAACCTGTTTTTTATTACTAACCAATAATGAACATTAATTAGCTAACTTCTGTTCTTGCTCAAATCGGTAAAACGTGTTTACTTGAAGTGTAAGGCCACCTTTATTTTTTCTGAAATCTGCCTGGTTGTTTTTTGAGGAAAAAGAACAAAAGGACACTAACCATGCCAGTTATAAATTAAGATGTGCTCGCGCGATGCTACTTAGGTTCTTCTGAGCATTCTTTGGTTTGGCACACAGGTGCATTTGTTCATCGCGTCATTGTACAGGGCTTCACGCTTGATAATGGACATGTGAATGGTGTCACACATACATCAAGTGGCGTGAAGCCCTGTACGATCAATGAGTGCAGCCATGTATCAATCCTAGAACCTTTAGAAGCACTTGAGTAGCAGCGTGCAAGCACGTATCTAGTTTATATTCGGAGTGTTTTGCACATTTTTTTCACCTGAAGAACAATCGGGGAGATTTCAGCACTAAGCAAACTCTTCATTTTGCGTTTTTATTACGGTGCTCTACAACTTTCAAGGTAATAACTTGACAATTTGAAAGAGAATAAAAATGGGCTAATTAAGGTTACCTAATTAGTGCTAAGTAATGGAAAAGTGCGAGTTGTATGTACACATGATTACCCCTAATGTACAGGTGGTATTTTTCTAGAACGCACATCTCTTGTTTTGTTTTTTTTTTTTCCTTTTGTAACCTTAGTTTGAGTTAGCTGGGACACCCACTACTGCAATATATTGGGGGCACCTAATATATAGTCTTGTAACTGCCCTCTGTGTGTTTCGTAATAGGGGTTCCGCTGTATCGATTTCGAATTTCACAGGCCGCCGCCCGAGTCCCCCATGAAGCAGCCTCTCCAGGACGTCACCCTCCGTTGTAACAACAGTGGCAGCTCGTCGCCCTCGCTGCCGCCTTCGCCCGGCACCCCCACTAAGTCAGTGAACAACTTCTCGAGGAGTCCGTTGGATGACCCCATGACGCCGACGGCTCGACTCAAGCTCTTGTCCCGCCTGGCAGCCGAGCGATTGCCCTATGCGAGTGGCGAAAACGTAAGACGAATTCGTCATTTCCAGTGGCCTGTACTTTTTGTGGCATTATAGCTCATCTTAAAGGGGCGCTAAACAGAAAAACAATTACTCTTATAGTAAATCAGCCTTTAATAATATTAAAACCACCATTCTTGCCACAACAGGATGCTTGCTAAGTCAGAAAACACGAGAAGAAAATACAGATGGCAACACCATAGGTCGGCATGCTCACTCACGAGTCAAATGACTCGAGCTGACTCAGACTCGGATCGTGCCGCAAGTCTGAGTGAGCCCGGATGAGGATTATTTTTGCCAGTGTGAATCCGAGCGAGTTCAGTGGAAGAAAATTTCTGTGAGTGTGAGTACGAGTAAGTATGTCTCTGGAAAATTTTGGCCAGTCTGAGTCCGAGTGAATCCAAAGCACATAATGTGTTTCAATGGTTTGTCTGAGTGAGCGCGAAAGTTTTTGCCAACCCATTTGCAACACCGCTCTTCATGTTTCTGCACAAACATGCTGCGACAGTGCAGAGTTTGGCAGCGTCTACCAGGCCATAGGTACTAATTATTTCATTGGTGACGATCTGTTGCATTGTGTTCTAAGCAAGCCAGAAAGTTTGTGTAGAAAGTTTCAGGCAATCATGTTAGCACTGTCTGGGCAAGTTGTAAGAAAGGTATGACGATTCAGAACATTGCACTGACATTCAGATAACGTGATTTGATTACAAAATTACAAAATTCTTGTCTGTGTGCTGCCTTTTCTTGTCCCATTATGTAACGCTGCTCAGAATAAGTAACAGGAATGCGTCAACAAGCACAGTTGTCATTCCTTCTGCATAAATGGAACTTCTACCTTTCATGCCTGTTTTTGAGAATGAAAATGCAACGATGAATTCAGCGACGATGACTTCACAGGGTAGTTTATAGGCGAATATTCATCATCATCATCAGCCCGACTACGCCCACTGCAAGACAAAGGCTTCTATCATGATTGCCAGTCAACTCGGTCCTGTGCTTGCTGCTGCCACTTTATACCCGCAAACTTCCTAATCTCATCTGCCCACCTAACTTTCTCTCTCCCTGTTACCCACTTGCCTTCTCTGGGAGTCCAGTCAGTTACCCTTAATAACCAGCCGTTATCCTGCCTACGCGCTTTGTGCCCGGCCAATGTCTATTTCTTCTTCTTGATTTCAACTATCATATTCTTAACCCCGGTTTGTTCCCTGATCCACTCTGCTCTCATCTTGTCTCGTTAAGGTTACACCTATCATTTTGCTTTCCATCGCTTGCTGCATCGTCCTCAATTTAAGCTGATCCCTCTTTGTAAGCCTGCAGGTTTTTGCTCAGTAGGCAAGTATCCGAAGATACAGCTGCTATATACCTTCCTTTTGAGGGATAGTGGCAATCTACCAGTCATGATTTGAGAGTGTTTGCCGAATGTGCTCCACCCCATTCTTATTCTGTAATGCAGGCTCTGCATAGGTGTGGAGCTAATAAATGCATTTTTTTATTTTCCAGTCCTTGAATAGCGTCTAACCAGTCTATGTGGAGACCAGGCTCGTTGGCAGGAATTTTTTTTAAAGGGGGGAGGGGTGGCATTAGCTGAAGAACACTTGTGTTCATTCTTTACTTTTCATAAAAGACCCTTCTCCATAAAAACTTTAGTGGGGGAGACTTCCTCCCCCTACTGCAGAGGCCTGATGGGAGACATTTGGCACTTGTTGCTATGATGTTAGACCTTGTTCGCCACCTTCAAAATGTTGGGGGCCTTCTCGCATAGAAGTTCACATAAAGGAGCCATGCACTCTAGGCTGCGTCTGTGTGGTGTGTTGTTCTCATTAACCATGATGGCGGCATTTGGTACGTCCTGGCGTGGAAAATGCCAATTTATGCGAGCTTTTCTGCCCACTTGTTCTTGTATATCTAGCATCGAATATTGCGTCTTGCATAGAGGTTCCTCTGTATCTGTGTTTTCTGAATCCAAGCCTTTTATGTAGTCTGAAGCTTTATTGCAGTCGACCTTCGAAGGTCTCCATATTTTAACGGGGCACGTGACTATGCAGACACGAGAGAGGAAGGGACGAACCGCAGCGCTGACTCGCAACTGAATTTTTATTGGAACACACAAACGAAAAAAGAATCGCTTCGATATTCACACCCATGTGACCACATCGAAGCATGAAAACGGCGGGTCAGCTGACATCTTCAACATTGAAAAAAACTGCTGTAATGCTGTTAGTACGCCCCACGTGTACTAACAGCGTAAAAGAGAAGATATCATGCTATCTAGTGTTTCTTTTTTTCGTTCATAATCGCCAATAAAAATTTTGTTGCGAGTTGGCGCTGCGGTTTCTCCCTTCCTTTCTTGTGTCCGTGTAGTTGTGCGCTGAGTTGAATAGGTATGTTCAAGTGTTGTCACCATCGGGCGCAGCTTTCAGTCCTTCCTTAAAGGTTCCCTGAACTGCATTAGCATGAATGTTTCTCCAGCCATAGCTACCCTCCTGCTCATGACATTCTTTAGAACATGCATAGATAACCTATTAGTGCTAATTTAATAGATTGTGTGTCAAGTGAAAAGCATTGATGAAGAAGCGTAGTTGGGCATGACATGGCCTCTGCCACTATGCACCGCGCTACGTTGTGCGAAATGGCCTGTTCACATGACGTAGCAGCGTTTTTGCTCGCAGGGAATGGATGACGAGCTCTCCAACCACAGCAGCAACTCTGAGAACCAGAGGCCGACCAGTCGAAAAGAGAAGTCCCTTGGCTTGCTTTGTCAGTCGTGAGTTTCTCCTTTTCTTTTTTTGTTCGGCCACATTTCTGCCTTTGGAAGCATGTGAAAAGCTGCCTCAGTTTTTTGCAATATGTTAAATGCAAATTTTGTTTTCTTCATCTGAACGTTCCAGATTCCTGGCCCTTTATCCGGAGTACACGGAACCGTCGGACGTCGTTATCGTGTCTCTAGACGAAGCCGCCAAACACTTGAGTGAGTGTTGCAACAGGGAGACCAAACGTACGGGCAGCAAAATTTCGTTGTTTTCAACCACTGTTCTCAATTTCATTGCATGAATATTCTTTACATCAACAACAACAAAAAAGCTTACGTGTACTACACTTTCTCTCTCTTTCTCTTTTTTTTTTAAGTTTTGCTGGGTTGGACGACAAAAGGGAGGGCAGTTGATATTCATGTCGAAATTAAGTAAGGGGCACGATGCTGCAGGCACTCTCTGTCCGTCCTGACGTGGGAGCGGCCTGCTCGGGGATTGGGGTAAAACTGGGCTGTTCATCCTTGCTTTTCAATAAAGTTTTGTTTCTCTTTCTCTTTTAAGTGAAATAATGCACATAGGCAGGCCATGTAAAGGGTGGGGCACGCAACCAGGGGGCTCAGTTGGAGAAATGAAATGGATACTGATTGGTTGAAAACTAAGTCGAGTTCTCAACGATGAAATGTCGTCTTGTATGAGATAGGGTAATTCGGGTGCATCTAAGACGCCGATGTAAGAGACGAACGGGTATAAGAGACACCACTGTGTTTGCTTCAACATAGAGTTAAACTAAAACCTCATTTAACAAAGTTGTGTTTTAAATGAAAACGAGTTCGTTATATTCAACAATTTCTTATAGAGGTTTATTTCTTACACTATATCTATTGAAAAACTTTTTTTAATTTACTTCATAACCGATATTTTGTTATATATAGGTTCGTTATGTAGAGGTTTGAGTGAAACACTTCGTGCTAGGCACAAGAACTGGTCCACGATGCATGTCCCTCTTAAAGGGGCTCAACTCTATAGGCCATTGTGAAAAATGAATATGATAATGATGGTTATTATGCAATTTCACATCTGTAATGCTGTGTGTCCTCACAGTGTTAAGAAGAGCGTTGTGGCGAGCTGTGCGTCAGACGTACTTTCAAACGTGGTGCGCAGATGTGGAGAGGCGGCGAGTGTACGACATTGTCAACGTTCTCGAGAGTGTCGGCATGGTCACCAAAGAGGCCAAGAACAAGTACCGCTGGTTTGGCAAAGGGGCGCTGCTGGACACCCTGCCAAAACTCAAGGTGAACTCTCTAATTGCTTGACAGCTTGGACCTTGTTCGTTTGTTCGTAGAACCTTGAGGCTAGTTTAAAGGAGCACAAACGCTAAAGTGCCTCGTAATTTTCTTTAGTTTATGACCCACTTACCGTGGCTGGAAACCTCGTTTGCACGAGCGCTGTGGTTATCTGTTTAGAAACATTTGTTGAGCGCCTTCATCGTTTGGGTTTCAAAGAGCATTGATCTCGGTAGCAGCAGTTCCGGTAGCAAGGTGAACATAGTTGGCCACGTGCCTATGCAAAACTGTTATGTGGTGATGCACGCGAGAGTATGCGTGAGTGGGCGCTGCTCTGACAGCCAGTGCGGCTAGCACATGCAAAGCCACAGGCACGGAGAAAGAAATTGCGGGTGGCGCAAGCGAAAGGCACGTGCAAGCAAACGGCCAGCACGTGACGTAGGTTTGTTTACATTAAATTTCTCCTGCGTTGATTTAGACATCGCGAGGGGCTCCGCATCTCACTCGGTCACGCACCATGCATTTTAAGATTGATTTTAAATATTATGTTCTAGGCTATAGTTACTGTGGATATTTCATAGATATTGTATATGTCTCCCTATAAATCTATTTCACTCATTATCTCGGCTTCGAAATTTTATGTTGCTGCTTCTGTAAGTAATGGGGCCCGAGATCCCGAGCTTGCTTAGTAACATCTGCTGCCAGGCTTGTTGATGCATAGCTTGGAAAGTAATTTTTGCGGGTGCGAAACAGGTGCTTGCCCATGTCGTATTTTTGGTCCCTGTTCCTGTGTTGCGCAGAAATTTTCTTTCGTGGTTGTTCAGAAAAAGAATATTCAGTGGGCAGCACTTCTGGAGCTAATGTTCAGGGAGTTTATTTTTGAGTTACCTGCGTCCCTTTTTTGACGACGTCGCTTCCGTGATGGAAATGACGTGCATCAATCCTTTATGGATCCCGACATACTTTCATGGTAAAAAGAGCTGCAAAAGACCACAATGTTCACTTCATTCACAAGAGACTCCGTGCAAATGCTTGTCCCTTCCAAAACCGCAGGCTCTCTCCGAGAAAAGCAACATGGCTGGCCAAATCCACTCGGTGAAGGACTTTGAGTTTAACCATTCCCTCGAGATGAGCAGCCAGCTGTTTGTGGTGCCCTCCAACGAGGCCATCAACTCTGGGCGGGTCACGGCGGCATCCATGGTCGGTGACAACGGAAAGCTGGGCGAAGGCGGTGGTGCGGCTGCCGTGCAGGACGTGGAACTGCGCCGAGAAAAATCCATGGGCATCATGAGTCAGCGCTTTCTGATGCTCTTCCTGACGTCGCCGGTGAGTGGGATCCTAGTGCACTTGAACCTCAATACAACGAGCATGGATACGACATAAGGAAGTAAATGAAAAGTAATCTTGTAATAAATACAGTGTTAGGAATAACCTTTGTGACGAATTTTCGGATATAACGAAACCATTTTCGTGTAATATGCGACTTTGTTATAATGAGGTTGGAGTGTACTAGAATCGTTTATGTGGCGTATTGAAGGATCGCTTCATAAAAAAAAGAATATAACGAAAACAGTTGGCAGGTGACTGTCGCAGTCATCATTTCTCGATGAATGTTACTTCTGGTTGGTTACTCTTACGAGTTATGTGGGTGCTATTATAGGCTGATGTAGGAGTCATTGGTTTATGTGAGAAAAAAATGAAATCAAATGAAAACTATTGAATGTTGACTGTAAAGTCATCGCTCCTTGATGGACTTCCTGAGTGGTGCTTTGTAGGTTCTATTGGTTAGTAAATAATCTGATGAGTTATGTGGGTGTTGCGATAGCTGGTTTATGTGCAAGACAGGATTTGGCAGGTAGTCGTCAGTATGGTCATGGGACCACACAATAAGTACTCGGGAATATTCATTTTACTTGCACTTCTAGTTACACTGAGTATTGTTCTGTTGATATTACAGTTATTATTATCGTAATGTTGCGCCGTCTTTTCTTCACAAGCTTTGTAAAGCACCATATTTTCTCGCAATTTACTCTCTAGCTAAAGTGCAAAATGCAGGAGAAAAAAATAAAAAAGAAGCACTTATTCTTGTGATACTCCCTCTCATGAAGCAGTGTCGAATTTACTGTATAGGTTATACAACATTAGGGTATATCGCGCAGCACATGGTTATGTAGTATCCGTGTGGCTTGCCAGATGTGTCATGAGGGCATGCTGGCTTACCTACTCTTTATAGAATGTGATTACCTTTTATTCGTTGCGTGTAATCATGTATTTCATGCTCATTTTCAGCCGAAAACCGTAAGCCTGGATTTGGCTGCCAAAGTGCTCATCGGGGACCCCACCGTTGACAAGACGCAGTCTATAGTCTATAAGAGTGAGCATGGCTTTTTTACCCACGCTTTTTCTTGAATTGCTGACGACGATTGCGTAGACTCTGTCTGGTGAGCGAAATGGCACACTTGTCGAGTGTGTAGACGAAATCAGACGAGGCGGAAATTCGAGTGGAAACTCTCTTGATTTCTAGGAAAATGGCACAGCAGAAGCGCAGTGTTGCGGTCCGAAAAGCTTGTGTGAGGGCTAGTTGAAACATGCTGTAGATAAAGGCAGCGCTGCAAAGTTAAGGACCAAAAATACTGCTACACAGATGAAGCGAATCTAAGAACTGAACTGATTGAAAGGAGAACCAAAAGGGGGTTAGGGGGGACAAAGGAGAGGGCGCTGAAGGCAAATCGATCACGATCCTACAGGGATGCTAAGCAATATAACATATGCATTTAATAAACTCAAAATTGACATTTTTCTTGCTTTGTGCCTGTGTCAAAGATGGTTGTCAATATTGATAATAATAATTAAGACATTATTGATACAGACATTAATATTGATATGTAGTGCTTAAATTGGGTTCAGCCACATTGGCTTATAAAATTCAGTGGTGCCATAAACTGCAGATAAGAACCGTTCATATAATACTTTTTATAAACGCCTAATACTGTAAGATGTCCTGTAGCCAGGGTTTTATCAGCAATCACTTTCCTGACACGACGGTATAAACAAAATGTTTTCACAAGAGCAATACCATTTCTATAAGAGTAGCCTCTACAACTGGCTTGGTGTTCAAACTGCACGTGTAGTTATCGGCCGGTCGGTAGACTGGGTCTTGACGCGCTGTCTTCGTTTTTCCTTGCCATTGTAATGACTGCTAACGGGCTGACCTTTATTTGTTGACAGCCAAGATTCGGCGGCTATACGACATTGCCAACATCCTGACAAGCCTGGGACTCATCCGCAAGGTCACGGTGACGGAGTCCCGGGGCCGCAAGAGCGCATTTAAGTACATCGGTCCTGACATTAGCACGGCCAGCACGGACGAAGGTTGTCATTTGTCTTCATTACAATTCACCAAGTACACTTGGACCTCGTTATAACAAAGTTGCATGTTATGTTAAACTAAGTTTGTCATATATGAAAATTTGTTATAAGGGTATATTTCTGACACTGTATTTATTGAACGACTACTTTTTAATCTACTTTGTTATAACCAATATGTCGTTTATCTGGGATCGTTATATTGAGGTTTCAGTGTAATTGGCTGGAGGTTACTCGAGGTTTCTTCAATCTCTAAATAGAGAGCTGAGCTAATTGGTAAGCCTTCATCCTTGGAGACTTGGTATGCAAACACAGGGTCCAAAAAAAAAGTTAGGACGCCACAAATGTTGTGTTTTAGAATGAATGGACTTGGTCATGTAAGTGACCTTTTAATTGTGATGATTCTTGTGCTGAAGGCAACTTGAGGACTTTTGTCATTATAAATTGCCCATTTCTTCTTGAGACATTCATGCTGAAGGTCATTTAAGGTCTTCGGGTCATGCGAAACTGCCAACGTATTGCGATTTTCCTGCTGAACATGGCCAGAAACACAAATGATACAGATATTGCCTGTGAAAAAAAAAGAGCTCGATGTACATATTTGGTGATTACTCGGTAGCAGTTAAGGCTTTGCTGGTCATTGTCAATACCTATTATTTGTGATTTTTGCATAAGCTGGTAATTTTTGTGCCTTAAAGCTCCTTTTGAAACAAAAAGTACAACTCATAATTGTGTAAATGAAACCAGAATGAAGCTTGTCTATTTATTCCATGATTACAAGCTGTAAATTGTGTTTACATGTTAGTATTATTTATGACAGTAGTTTGACATAAACTTACCAGACCTATCTGCCATTTCGTGGCATATAATGACTTTTTAATGTAGTTTTAATCGGCCTCATTGATAAATGTGGCCTGGTAATGTTGGTTATAGGTGGGCTATGCGAGTGAAAACTATCTTGTACAGTTGCATCATTAAAGGTGGTGTTATTCTATGATGAACCGTTGCTGATGCCGCAAGTGCTGTATGCGTGCTTGTCTTAGTCACTCCTGCGGCCGATTCTTTAGTATAGACTCTATATAGTGCTAGGGGACTTCCGATGAGTCATTGCAGCTTCAAAGCATGCAGTGATGAGATAATGTGTGTGTGCTGAAACAAATGGCCCGAAAAATCGCAGCTCCGGGCCTACTGAGACTTCATATTAATGAAAACTGACCCACAATCATGCAAAGAGAAGTATAAGGGATGTATTAGAAGTAGAAGTAGAAGTGTGATATAGTTGTGAAAAAAGGAAAGTGGATTAAAACATAACCTGCTGCGGGCAGGGACCGAACTTGCTACCTTCGAGTAATGCATCCAATGCTCTACTAACTGAGCTACCATAGTTACGTTACGATTACTTCTAACAACATCCCGCATACTTTTTTGGCATAAGTGTCTGTCATTTCTCGTTAATATTTTGCCTAACAAAGAAAACGAGCCTTTAATTCACGCTTATTTCCTTCATTCATAACAAGGGAGTTAAAATTTCAGCAGATGAATTCAGTTTACATTTTTTGTGGTGTCTTGCTTATGAAATCTTCATTTTTTCGTCTTCCTGCCTTTCCTTCTTCCTTTTGTCGCTTGACAGATGTTCAGGTCCAGACACAGTCACGGCACTCTCTTGTGGCCACTGGATTTTCGTTCAAGAAAATCTCCAAGTCAAAAGGTGAGCTCTAGAATATGACAGATTTCAGGTTTGCAACATGAAAATTTTGAGAGATGCGACTCATTGAAGGAACAGCTGGGGAAAAATGAGTAGATATGGATTGAAAAATCAGGCTCGTGCAGCAGTGAATTAACCATATGTAGTGAGAACAAAGTCCTTCTAATAGAGAAGAAATGTATAAAACATGAAGGTCGGAGGGTAGCACCTGTATTTTGTATACGGTGGTGCCTGTTTTGCGATGTTAGCATTGGCTGATTCATTGAAACTCACAGATAGAGAGATTTTATGGGGATTGCATAAACCAGTTAATTAACTTCCATGCCAATATCAAATTGAGTACCACAGCACCTTTGGCAGCAGTTTTCTATTGCAACCTCTAGTAATGTGATTACTGATTGCTCAAAGTGATGATAGACTTCAAGATCTATCAGTGTATTGCTGTATTGCCGACGACAGCTATTGCAGTTGGTTGTATTGCGACTTTGTACTAGCTGTGAAACCTAACTACAATTAGCGGGCCAGTAAACAGACCAGTGGTGTTATATTCAGGGTGAAGTACTGCCGCAAGTGCTTTGTCAGTAAGTGCTGTAATGAAGGAAATACAGGGTATAGAACAAACTGGTTTTTCTGGTGTCAGTTTCGCACTTGGGCCTGCTGCAAAGAGAAGCAGGCGTAGCTCGTCCCGTCTACACCCTGTAAAGGGCTCAAGGTCGATAGAAGGTACGGCGGGCTTCTTTAAAGCTGGCTTCCCGCCGTCGTACGCATAGCCGATCTTTGTCAGTGAGGAGATGCGTTCGTAGACAGGGAACGAAGGTTTGTTTACATGATAGTTGAAAGATGGAACTGTACAGATCATCAGAGAATCAGCTATGTACAATGATTCAGCTATGCGGAGGATAGCGAGAAGCTAGCTACCTTAAAGAAGCCACCATACCTGCCATCGACCTTGAACCCTTAACAACTGGTTGGCAGCGGTGGGATAGACCTCGCAACATAGTGCTGTGTTGCAGTGAGTACTTGGTCTTTGCTTTGACTTTCCAGGCTTCCTTTTGTGAGTTAAGTAGAAGCTGGACTGTGTGTGAGTTAGGGAGATCATCTATTTGTGAGTATGAGTGAGAGGGATCGCCTAATTATTTGTGAGATGCAGTACCAAAGTATAACGGCAATCATGGAGGTGAAGACACTGCTAAAAGATGGTCTTGTGTATATTTGTGAAGACCGACTTATAGAGGTTAAAGAAAAGCTGGGCAGGTCACAAATTTCAAAGCTGATTTTGCAATAAGCCAGTGAGGAGAAGATTGAATTGGCGTTAAATGCTTTCAAAACGGAGGCAGAAAAAGAAAGAGAAGAGGAGGAAAGGGAGAAGAAGAAAGATAAAAACAGGAGAGGGAGAAGGAAAGCGAGAGAGTGGAGTGCGAGCAAAAAAGAGAGAGAAAAACGTGAGCGAGATATGAAAGAGCATGAGCGAGCACTCTATCTAGAGATTGAAATGCTAAGACGTAAAGTTGAGGCAATGTGGCAGAAGATTCTGCCATACGCAACTGAACGCACGAGAAATGCGATGAACAAATGAGCGCAGTGCAATTCAGAGCCGTAGAGAAGGCTAGCACGTGTCAAGACAGCAGCAGGTTTGAAGATGAACCGAATGTGAAAGCTGCGAAAGATGCTGCTCTAATGAGGGAGGCCGCCGAAGGCCAGAGTGAGGGCGACAAGGTGCCGTGCCAGTTGAATGCTAGTGAAACAGCTAGGATAGCTGTAGACAATCTGGTACAAACCTCAACGGAGGTTGTCGCGACGGTGGATCTTGCAAACGAGGTCGAAGTGCCACCCCTGAGTATCTGGATAAACTAGAAAAACACCTGTCTCAATTCCACAAACATAAAATACTCTTAATAGGGGACCTTAACTTACCAGGCGTTAATTGGGAACGCTTTCAATCACTTTCTGAAAACAACAATCATTTCAATAGTATACTGAGTATAATGTTAACTCACGACCTAGTGCAGATAGTGCGGGAACCAACACGTGTTCAAGGTACTTCGAAATCAGTACTGGATTTGGTTTTTTTACCCAGACAATTATCAGAGTGCACAGTTCAAGTTGTGGAAGGTATTTCTGATCATCTTCTTGTCAGTGTTTGCTTACACATTGTTGCTCCTATGAAATCAAATAATTCTGTGAAGCGTTCTTTCAAAGACTACTCACGTGCAGACGATGCATCCATAATAGAACATTTGGAAACATGTCTAACTGATTTCACCGACACTGATGTCATCTCACTTTGGTGCCGTTTCAAAGATATATGTAATTTCTGTACAGATACGTTTGTACCAACCAAACATAAACTAGTTAATAGGCAGACACCATGGATGACGCGTGAAATCATCCACCTGAAGCGAAAAATAAAGAGATTAAAAAAACAATGCATATCTATCGGCAATCTAAAAGAACTAAAAGATAACCTTGCACGTGCGGTAAGCTCTTCGAAAGATCACTATTTTAAGACGGTGCTACCAAACTTTATTTCAGAAGATCCTAAAAAGTTTTGGAATTATATAAGCGAAAAAAAGAAGCCAGTGTCTCAAATTTCTATTAATGGCTCAATTGTTAATGATCCTGGTGACATCGCATGTCATTTGAATGAGTACTTCCAGAGTGTTTTTAGTAAGTCTGGTGTTTGTCCAGCCAATCACACAACATTTCATCCCTCTGATGTCAGTTTCATCTCTTACCCTGGCGTGGTTTCTATGCTATTGAACTTGAAAACGAAATCTTCATGTGGTCCTGACAACCTTCCTAACATGTTTCTGAAGCGATATGCTGAGTCTATTGCAAAGTTTCTTGTTATAATTTACCGTAATTCCTTACTTCATGGTAAACTACCGGATGACTGGAGGGTAGCCAGAGTCGTTCCCATACACAAGAAAGGTGATCGATCTTTATTAGAAAATTATCGACCGATATCACTTACATCATCCTGTTGTAAACTTCTTGAGCACATTATCGCCAATCAAATTAATGAATTCTTAGATGAACATTCAGTTCTCTCTAATCATCAACATGGGTTTAGAAAAGGCTACTCGACAGTTACACAATTAGTTACCGTTATTCATTCACTCGCTTCATGTTTTGATAAAAATGGTCAAATCGATGCAATATTTCTAGATTTCAGCAAAGCCTTTGATAGGGTTCCGCATGACAAACTGATCTTAAAACTCAGAAAAATCAAACTTCCGGAAATTTTAATTACATGGATTAGGAGTTATTTGACTAATCGATCCCAGTGTGTGGAAGTTAATGGGCGGCGGTCTGGCTATCTTCCGGTTGGTTCCGGGGTTCCTCAAGGGAGTGTATTAGGGCCATTGTTGTTCTTGATATACATTAATGATATCGTTACAGTCATTGATCCTAGCATTGAAATTAGATTGTTTGCAGATGACTGCGTGTTGTTCCATGAAATCACTTCACCTAACGATCAGCACCTCCTTAACACTGCTCTTGCTAACATTTCCGAATGGTGTAACACATGGGACATGAAACTTAATATTGGTAAGACAGTATATCTTCGTTTCTCTCGCAGAAAAGCTCCACTTTCCTTTGAATATAGGCTAGGCTCATTACCATTGCATGAGGAAACGGCATACAAGTACTTAGGTGTAACTCTTACTAATACTTTGTCGTGGAATACACATATAAATAGCATTTGTTCTTCTGCATACCGCAAGTTATATTTTTTACGACATAAGCTCAAACAGTCTCCTCCAGCTGTTAAATTACTTGCTTATAACACACTAATTAGGCCAAAACTCGAATATGCATGTGTAGTATGGGACCCCTTTACTAAAACCAACATTAATCACCTAGAAAATGTGCAAAGAAAAGCAGTCAGGTTTATTTATTCCAAATTTTCACCGTATGACTCACCCACTGAACTGATGCAGGCTAACAACATTCCATACCTTGTTCTGAGACGGAAAGCTGCACGTTTGGAATTTCTTTACCTCCTTTGGAATCATAAACTAGCGATTAACCCCTCACCATATCTTTCATCTTCTACATCAAGACTTACTCGCCACCATCATCCTAATTCTTTGACACCTTATTTTTCGAGAACAGATTTATTCAAATTTTCTTTTTTTCCCCGCACCGTAACAGACTGGAATGATTCATTGTAGCATTTAAGCGCATTGGGATCATTGCTCATTGCTAATTGCATGACTATACTTGTTTGCTCCGTTTTGTTGTTGTTTTATTCTTCCCCCACCCTGCTTGGATCTGTACAAGGTCTGCAGTATTGAATAAAGAAGAAGAAGAAAGAAGAATACCGGAGAAAGCTCAGGAGAAGCAGCAAATGCAGAGAGTGAGGAAAACAGTGTGGTTGTGGACAGCTCACCGCCATGCGAGCTAGATTGTTCAGGGGGAAATGGTGTCATTGTTCTTAAGTGTGTTACGCTGTCTGCCAGTCTGGTGAGTGAAAGGAAAGATGATTTTTTAGAAAATCATTTAGACTCCGCTGATGAAACAGCAGACAAAAGCTGTGAGAGTATTGACAAGCTTCAGGTGCTAGCTGAAAGCTCAGAAACGAGTCACAAGAAGCGTTGCTGACGCAAGAGACGTCGGAGAGTTGCGAGAAAGACAAAAGACACTACGCGTGTAAAGGAAGGTTCGGAACCTGTCAGCGTAGCAAACAGACCTAAGGGTTTTGCAGTAGCATCAGAACTGCTTTGCATGCGTCCAAGCCGCCGGACGAAAAGAAAAGCGAAAGCAGTATCTTTGTGGATGCAATCACGTAGGATGTGTCGGTACTCCCGTTGTTCTTTCCACCGAACATTTCGGGGCACGCATGAGTACAGTGTTTGAAAGAGCGTGAGCACCTGTGTTTTGTATACCGTGGTGCCTGTTTTGCAATGTTAGCATTGGCTGATTCATTGAGACTCGCAGATTGAGAGATTTTATGGGGATAGCATAAACCAAAACTGACGACTAGCTGCACAGGTTAATCAGCCCGACAAGGCGACAGAGTCGAGAAATCGAAGTGCCGAAGCAGTGTGGCAGGTGGTGCAGAAGCACCCTTGAGCTGTAATACCACCGATGACGCAACCTGAAGCAACGTCTTGAAGATGTCGAAGGGCGAGGATGTAAAGTCTGGTGGAGGGGGAAAGTTGATCTCCTCCTCCGGGGTGGCCGCTGACACGAACGTCAGCAGCGGTCCAAGGCAGTTTTCTGCTACATTGTTGCCAGAAGTTTCCCGAACTCTGCAGGCCAGGTGCTCAATCCCTGAGAACTGTGACTGCGACGCCTTCCTACGCTTCTAGACTGTCGGTGCTTTTGTGATGATTTCGCGTCGGCGGCAGCAGCCAAGTCAAGAGATTGACTCCGTGAGAACTGCTACAGTGGCACCATCCCACGTTGTTCGAACCCGTTCAACAAAAGGGTTGTCTCGCAAAGCTTTCATCGAGACCCTACTACCACCTGGAACCCCAGAGGACAGCGTCTAGCTGACTGGGCGCCGATAGAGTTGAAAGCATCCTAGCAGACCGGCTTACGCACAATGGTGTCTGCCCAGACGAACTGCCGGGCCAAACATAACAGTTCGCTTCGGTAACGTAACACGACATCGGCAGTCATGTCGTCAACGTGCACCCAACGATAGGCTCCACCCACATGTCACTTGTGCCAGAGCTGTGCGGCGAGGAAGCGTGCCGCAAGTGGTTAGTAGGGAGCGAACGAACATGTGATCAGAACCACATCACCGCAGGGCCAAGGTGCCGTTTCAAAGTTCGGAGGACCAATGAACAATGTCGCTGCTACGTATAGCCGCCTATACACAAGAATTACATCATTTTTTAGGCTGGAGAGGGGCACGAGAATTGTTTTTCAATATAGGCGGCCTCTGCGGTGCAGCTGCTGTGTCGGTTGCAAAGTGTAATCACCAAGTTCTTCTTTATGAACTGGCGAGCTTATTTTTTGGAAGTGTAAGAAAATTTTCAAAGGCTGCTTACCTGCATTTCAATGTAATTTATTGGGCCATCAATTTGAAAGGCTGATGGCAGTCCAAGGTTGCAGGGGCTGCCGAGAAGCGAAGAAGTTTTGAACGTTTTGGAAGCAGTGTAATGGCTGGGGAAAATAAGCGTTTCTAAAAGTTAAGCGACTGTTGAATTACTGGAGTTTGTTTCAATGAAATGACTAGTATTTAATAGCATTGCATGGTACTGAACTGTTTGTTGTTCAGTTAAGAATGTGAATCGGCAAACGACATTGGTAGATTTGAAACAGTATGTACATGTTATTCCTCTCAAAAGCAGATGACAATGCAACATTGAGGTCGCGGTCTCCGGGTTCCAACAAGTGCACCGCTCAAGTTCTGGAGCTGCTGCAGAGAACACAAGGTTTGTGATGTATATATTTAAAGGCTGCGCAACTCAGTTTAAATGTGTTATCGAAGTGACGTTTTTGGTAATGTCTGCCCTTTCAACCAGAGAGAACGGCATTTGTACATGCCTTCTTTCGATTTAAGAAAATATTGTGCAAGTTCCTTGGGTCATGACAAGTATGCTCATTTTTCTTTATTCTACGCGATATACTATATACTATTTGAATTTGATTTGAATTTATTTACTCAGATCACAGTTCACTTCGAATTCGCTTTGAACCTAGAATGTACTATTCGCACACGCCTAGTAATTACATCTCTATGCAACTACTATATATGCAGTATTACTTATTTTGTTGGATTTGTGTTCTTTTTTTTTCTTTTTTTCTCACGTGACAAGTACCCAGCACACCTCAGAGTGCTACATATGTTGCATTTATGTAATATAAGAACTGACTCGGCTTATTTATATTTTTCGAAATAATGAAATCTTGGATATGTCTGGATCTTTGCGTACTGTCTTGAGGAATCGACTTTTCGAGGTTGAAATGCTGCAGTAGACAAGTCACTGATAGATTGAAATTTAGTAAGAGTTTAGTTTGGAGAAGCTACTAACCTCTCGCTACTGTAATCTGCGACAAACTTCTTTTAATGAAATCAATAATTTGACGATATCTTATCTGCTCAGGAAATAATGGCATGATAGAAATAAAAGAAATGAAATGCTAACCCAAATGGTATTGTCAAAGAAGTGGGTTTCATACAGAATGTTTCCGTGTGGAAGGAAAAACATTATTTTTTTTAAAACACTCTTCTGGTTGCATTTCACTTTTATTTCTATCATGCCAGGACGGCTCTTCTTGCTTTGCATTTCTTGCAACTGGAGTTTTTCAGAAGCCTCGTCCTTTGTCGCGCTTTGCAGAACGTACGAAGCGCGGCCCATCGCGGCTGATGCGTACACACAGCGACGACGTTTCAGCACCTTCGCGGAAGTGTCGGCGTGGATCCCAGACGGCTGCGGCTTCCAAGCCCGCGTCGTCGTCAAAGACGCTGGCGCGACATGCCAGCTTCCACGACATCTGCGAGGTCGCCGAGATGGAGCGGCGCCGTCTGTACTCCGAAGAAGAAGAGAGCCATTCATCCACCCGAGACAGATTGTTCGGGGACGCCAATGCTGTGACCGGTGCTAACAAGTCCTCTGGTGGAGTGGAATCTGCAGTTGGTATGTGGTCTCATACGAGCCAGCGCTCGTACATGTCGGACTGACCAATTTTGTAGGCTGCATTTGGTGAGCTGTAAGGGCCGGCACTCTGCATCACTGGTAAGGCACAGTGCTGCATAAGCTATGCTAGTCCTTCGATCAGCCTAATGTGTAAGTATGCACATCTTGTGCTCAAATTTTGTCACTAAAAATGTGGCTTCTACGATTCGCTCCAGCCGTGCCCTATCGGCACTAATCACGGTAGGAAAGCAGGCCCTAAATGATCTTGAACAGCCTGTTGACAACTGTATAAAGAACGGGCTTTGTTTACTTTTAAGGCATAAAGCATCTTTGTAGATTACTCAGTGTAAAAGAAAAAAAAAGTCGTAACACCGGTGATAAAATTGCTGAACTGCTTGTTGGTGAAAACGCTTCTACTACTGCAAGATGTCGCTAGCATATGTTGCACTTGACATATGAAACTGAGTATAAAAGCCATTTAACTTAGACTGAGATGACCACTAGCAAGAGGCTATGTTTTGCGAAGCACTTGAATCGCTCTCGATTCACATTGTGTGTTGCTTGGCAAATATGCGATTTCGTTCATTTATTCACACTTAATTTGCTATACTCGTTTTTCGTTTACACTCGGGTCCTTTTGCTTCATTCTGTATTTACATGTCACTTGATTCACGCATAACTGAGTAATTCCCATTGAGCTACAATAGTTACCACTTGGGGCCCTTTGATTCATTCTTGGTTTACATTTATTTCACTTCATTGTGCATTGACACACCTTTGATTTGTGTGCATAGATTGACTCTTGATTCTTGACTCGCACTCATTGTTGACCTGACTCACTTGTACCTTAATTCACTTTAATGTACATTCATTCACATCAAATTTTGCATCAAAGTTACTCTTGATTCAATATAGTTTGAGCTCCTTATCACTTGCTCTAATTATTACATCTCTATTTAGCGCTGCGAGAGATTTTGGTACCATTTGTGTTCATGGCACCACTTGACGGCAAATTTTTGTTATGGATGAGCCGTATAGGGTTCTCATTTAGGATGCGCCGTAATTGCTGGTTTTGCGAAAAACACGGCAGCTCCACAGCAGAACTGTTTATGGAAAGGTTATAAAATGGCTGTTTCATTTCAGGTGGAGCTTCCCCAGGCAAGTCACCTGCTTCTAACTCTAAACAGGTGAGATAGTGCAGTATTAGTAAATGGAGTGCTACTACTTTGCTGCTTTTTGCCTTTTTGCGACACACATTTCATTTCTGGTTGGGCGTTTCGCGGCACGCATAAAAAAATGGAAGCCAGGGCTCTTGTGTCCTATCGCTGGCACTGAAGTGTGATCTCTGACGAGACCGCCTTTTTACGTCAGCAGCTGGTGGGAGGCCCAGCTCGCTGGTGTTGCAAGCACACAGTTGCTGTTTATTAGTTCCTAATGAGCGCATCTTAAAGGGGATCATCACTGGGAACAATAAGCAGTCTATCAAAAGCTGTGGGCGGTTGCTTGACATATTGCCTGCGCTATGCAAAAAAACTGTGTGCAGTACTCGCGGATTCATAGGCATCAACATTTTTTAGCGAAATGAATAATATGCGCCATTACTTGAGGTAACTGTGTCATTCGCGATGTATCTGGTCTCTAAAGATCATGTTGACTCTCATCAACATGTTTGAGTTGAAATTACGCCGACATGATTGAAACTGAAAGCGATGGAAGTGAGAGTATGCACTTACTTAGCCCTAAATTGACTCAAATTGGGACTAGTGTACATTCTTCAACATACAGAACCACCAGGAATGATGCAGGAGCATACCACAACGCTTGTGTGGAAGTGGGCACGTTTGACCGATGGGGCATATTGTCATCGTTTCGATAAGCACAGGTGTGCCCCATAAAGAGTTCGGTCTTCGCTATACTCTGTTAAAACCTGATAAAAAAATAAATAAATGTCCGGAGTACCCACAGCCATCACTGTCCCTCCTGAAAGAAATTTGCATAAACGCCATGTCCAGTCATGCTTACTCGTTTCACTTCGAGCACTTCACGAGCGTTTTAGACAGTTGACTTTTTCGTCCAGATGCACATTTTTGTTGCTGCTTATAGGTCAGACCAACGTTTTGGTAAATTTTTTGGGGAAAATGAGACCTTTAACTTCCCGTACGCACTATGTCTACTATAGTTGAGAAAAAGTGGGTTCAGTTTAATGGAAGCCGACTAGTATAACTGTCGTGGATAAAAGGGTGGCACACGGCGATTCCGTGCCTGGAGCCGACATTTCATTCCGAGGTTTTAGCAAGGTATAACTTGACTGCGGCGTTCTTCTCGATAACTGCCGCGAGACGGAACCACCAGTCTTTCTTCTCACTTTTCTCCCGAAGGCTGAAGCCAAGGAGGGCGAACCGAGTGGCTCGACCGAGTCGCACGTGATCACCCTGTCGGAAGAGCAGTATAGGAGTTTGCTGCAATCGCTGAACCTGCCGATCCACTCCAAGCCCATCATCAGCATTCAGCAAGAGAAGAAGGCCGAAACACCATGGTCAGTTGCACGATGTATCGTCATGATGAAGCCCTGTACGGCATCAATATGCTACAGTATAAACACAATAAGCGAAATTCTTTTTTTTAAGACCATACTCTATCTTGGGAAAGTTGGTCACAGAAATTTTAGTCTGTCTGTCTTTCTGTCACACTATTCAGCCACTCAGCCAAAGTTTGAGCACTTGCCGAAAGCGCACCCATCCTGAGCTGGTGGCTGCGTTCATACTTGTGAACATTGTTCGCTAACGAACAAACATTAGGCACACCTCAGGCCCAGAATCGTGGGTAAATGTCAAGTGATGTGTTTCTTTACTAGAAAATACGTGTATACACAATTCTAAGCACCCTAGCATTTCTTAGGCTGCGCTAAAAGTGCGACGCTATGCGCGAAGGAAGGCCCGCTGCAAACCATCTTCTTTCGACGACTTTTGCAGCGAAGCATGCAAATGCGTGGCCCATTTTTCTTTTTTCGAGGGGATTTCTTATATCTTAGTAGACCAGGTTAAGAGGAAGGCACAGAAGATGTTAATTGTTTTCTTCAACTGTAGTGTACCAATGGTGGCGAATTCAGTAGACTCTCATAAAACAGAGCCTGAAGGGACCAGTAAAATGTGTTTCAACAGGAGTCACGTCTGCTGAGAGATGAACAGGGGCACACAATGCAAGAACGAAGCCAATCTTGTCAGAAGCACTACGTAGCTCCATTTAAGCAGCAGTTCCGTTAAACAGATTTCCATTTACTGAGTGTCTACAGTGTTGTAATGAGAGGGGTCAAAGAGTCGCCCTTTGTTCAGTTCGTGCGGCATTTTTGTGCATGCACATTTACACCTCGATATAACGAACCTGGATATATTGAAATATTGGTTATAATGAATTAAATAAAAAAGATTGTCTTGAAACTGATATAATGTTAGGGATAAACCAGTATAACGAATTTTCGGATATAGCAAACTTATATGCATGTAAGATTCAACTTTGTTTAATGAGGTTTGAGTGTAATTCCTAAGGAGTGCCAGCCTGCGCTGCTGACTCGCCCACTTATTACATGCGTGGAAATGCCCTACTTTTCGAATTTTGCTCCAACGTTCGTCCTCGTTTTACATCTTTTCTTTTTTGGCAATACGTGCGATCGATGACACGCCGAAATCCGTATCCTCCTACATTTCAGCGTGGCGGCCGGCGCGTCCCACTTGCCTGACGATAGCGGTGTTTCCTGGGAGTAGGTTGAATTGGAAAGCGAGGTTGAACCCCTTCGATTTCGAAACAGTGTTGCTCAATAGACTGAATAACGGTCGCAAACTGCATCTGTGCACGAAACTGGAGGCTGATTAGGGGTTCATATGGATTACGAAATTAGACATGGTAACTCGGGGTGGTGCGAAAAATACAGCATGCAAGAAAAATGAAGACGTGGGACGTCGCATCGTCCTTTGTCCTCATCCTTTTTGTGTGTGCTGTAGGTCTCTCGCCACGAACTCACCCAATCTTTTATTTTACCGAATTTGAACAAATGGCCATTCAGGCATAAACACCAAAATGCGCATCTTAGGTGCTACAAAAGCATTATAAAAACTTCGTAGAAGCACTTCTCAAGTTCTTGTTCATGCTCATATATCAAAGTGGTGCTACGGGAGTACAGGGAATAAAATAGGCATTTATCTTAAATTCAGTTCCTGGTAATGAGGCTTTGAGTGTGTATCCACATAGACTACGTACGGGGGAAGTGGAGTGACCAGAGGTGTGCGTTATACTCAGTGATTACGACTGCATCGAACGAGAAAGGCGAGCATAAGCATTTTTGCTCTTTGCTGTTGTCAGTAGTGTTTTATTGTCATGCAATCACGTTTATTGACTTACACTACATAGCCTTCACATGGATGACTGGGTTTTTAAGAATAACCTTTTTTGTTTGCTTTAAACTCCTCCGGGCAGCATTTTTATTGTTTGAATTTGTCTGCCATGGATATCGTAATAGGTGTTATTGATATGATGGAAGTATTGTATGAGGTCGGTAGAACTTCTCTAAAGATTGAGGATTATTTTTTGCATTGATATCTCACTGATGCAGGCTTTAATTCAATTTGAGGGGCCCTAATGTGGACAGTTTACTAGCTTGTCATGATGCAGATCAAGGCAGCTCACTTGTGTGCCCCCAATTTCATGCAGCAAGTGTTTGGGCGGCCAGCAGCCGCAGACTCCCCAGCCAGCTGTGCCACAACCAATGCCGGCACAGCAAACATTGGTGATGCAGGCACCAGCAGTGCAGACGTCAGCAGCGCAGACGTCAGCAGCGCAGACGACGGCAGTGCAGACGCCGGTGCCTGTTGTACCAGCACAGCAGACACCAGGGCAGCAAACAACTACCGTGCTGGCCGCGACTGAAGTGTCGACTATTTTGACTCCCACGTTCCGCTGGATCATCGAGCACGACCAGCGGACGCCGTCGGGGAGTGGTGCCACAGAAGAGGTGATCACGGCAGTGGCTCTGCCAGCCGCTGCCCGGAAACTGACGTATGACAGCGCTCCGACCACGCCGGCTTCTCCGGGAGCCGCCGAGGAGAGTGTGGTCCTCAGTGTAACGGCGGCAGATGCGACAGACGACTCGGCCATCACGCTGCCAGCTACAACAACCGGGCCAGCAGCTGGCACAGTAACGCCGCTTACCCCTAACTACTACGCGTGTTTTGTTCGCGGTCCCTCATCCTCGCCCGAGGTGTTGCCTCTGGTCACTACAGGCACGTCTTCCTCTTCGCCGCAGATACCCATTTTCTCACCAACCAATTGCATGCTCACGCTGTCGCCCGTCGTTCTCGGGGCGGCGCACCACGGCCAAGCGGCGATGTCGACGATCACTCTCCCGGCGGGAACGAGGCTCTTGACTGCCACCACGCCGGCAGCAGCACCGGCAGCTCCTGAGAAAAAGGCTTCTACGGCTGCGCGTAAGTTAACGCTAACAAAGTAGGCACATTATTTAAAAAGCGCTAGTTATCCTCAGCAAAATCTGCCGGTGAACCTTCACGTTTTTGCGCTGGTGGCTATGGAAAAATTTTCAGACGGAATTCAAGTGCACAAGACATACAAGAAAAAAATTATTGACAAATAAGAAACAAGATGTTTAAATTGAAGACTTTGGGATGCAGTGGAGCTTAAATTACTAACGGCTTAGCTCAAGGTACTGTCTGGTCAGTCGAAAAACACTTCGAGGTGACTCGGGATCTAGTGGTGTGGCTGTTACGAACAGAATCTGAACTGGCATGGCATGTGCTGTAACTTGCGGTGCGATTTCATCTGCTGCATCTGCAGTGCAAGCGACGTTGACGAAGCAAAGCAACGAGGGGCTCCAATGCCGCTGGATCATTTTTCGCTCTGTGGCCACGCGCCGTCCGCCCCCCTCGAGCAACGCCCCGAACGAGTGAAGAGGTCTGTTTCGTTCCTCAATCGTTATGCAACAACGGGTGTGGTGAGGCGTTCCTTTCGTGGGCTACAAAGCATGCGTGTGTGCGGTGTACGACGTTCACAGATCTCTCCGCGCTTCTTCAATGCACCATCAAGGGGAGGTTAACAGAAGACGTGTGGTGTGCAGAGTGTGTTGGGATTGGAAAGTTTTGTGCTTCTTTCACGGTGCGATGGAACACCGATGAAAGGACGGCAGTCGTGCTTTGTACCGCGCGTCGAGAAATGTGACCAAGTGAAGTTTCGTGGCGTATCCACCGCAGTCCAACTGTTCTGAAGTGTTCCCAGCTTCTAAAGTCTGAGGATTCATCAAACTTGGCCACTGTTCTCGTGTATGTGCTACGTGTTTGCGTGCCACACGATGTTGTTCTGCTACGTGAGCGTCTTACTGCAGCAGCACAAAAGATGCACCGAGAACGCCGAACCTTTCGAGATCCGAGTGCAAGGTGCAACTGAAAAGTTTTGCCGCAACGTTGCGGCCACATCATTAGCCTTCAAACATTTTTGTGCCGTCGGCTGCTTCTGCACATATGCCATTGTGCAAAAGCTGCACACCCTTGTCTTGTTGTCGAGCTTAACGTGTCTTTTTTTTTTTTTGTTATTTTTAAATGTTCAAGAGATGTTTTTTTTTTTTTTTTCAATTTACTTCACCACTTGTTACGCGCCCGGTATTACTGTTTGGGCATTGTTGGGGAGTGGCGAGCTCAAAGGCCCTCAAAGGGTTTTAGGCTTGGCTGACGTTGCCATCCATGACATTTCATTTTTGCCCAATTTGGTATTCTCGTCATGATTCTCATTTTCCTGTCACCTTTTTTTTTTGTTTCATCAAGCACATCACTTTTGGGTTTGATTTGAAAGGGTTGTTTAAAGTTCATACTTAGTCACTGTTCAGGCATGGAAAGAAGGGTATAGGTTCAGGGCGTCCCACACCGCATGCCCACTGTCATATTATTTGTTGTTGTTTTTTTAAGTGGTAATGGTTCCGGGATGAATGTGCATTCCCACTGGGCAGCACGTCAGTGTTGACTTTTATTTATTTGCACAGGCACTTGTAAATAGTAGTCCTAAAACATTCATGATTCTTCTTCCCGCTCCAATTTTCGCGACGTCAGTGACTGTCAGAGAATTCTTCTGGACTTTCTGTCAAGACTGCTTAGTTTCACCGTACGAAATTGGCTGTTTATTTTATTCTTTTTTTTTTTTTGGCTGATTGGTCACTGATGTAAAACCCTCTTATCCTTGATGTAGCTTTGCAGAGAAGCGATGAATTCAACTAAGAAATAAAGTACTATATAAGTGCCAAGTCTTTGGCTTGGCGAATGGAATGCGTCGGTTCTTTATTTTGATGCAGAAAGTCGGTTTGACCTTGATGTTGTAGCGGAATAGCAGGGAGGCAGACTTTTTCTAGTGAGACGACGACAGAGAAAAAAACACGTCCTTTCAGTTTGAACGCATCACGAAGACTGGTTTATTCGTTCGCTATGTACCGCTGTCGTAGAGAGGGGAAGAAAAAAAGGAAAAGCAAACAGAGAAGCACAAGTATTGTCAAAGAGTTTCCTCCGCACCCCGCACGTGCGACGGTCTTCAAGGACAGATGGACAAAACGCTTTCCGCGTGTTCGAGAAGGGTCATTGTGGCCCTCACCCCCTTTTCCCTTCACGGCTGGGCTTGTAGGTAAAAACAGATGTCAAGGACGCCCTTCGCTCCTTTCGCATTGCCCGTCACGCGAACCACCCGAAAACGAGTCCCTCCGAGTTGCCCCTCCTCCCCCTCTTCGCCGCGGAGTCTTTCAATTAACGCTCCCCCGAAGCGGGGGCTGCTTCCCAGTATGCGACAAATACAACAACCTCCCCCGGATGAGCGAACTCTTGAGCTCATTGTCGGTCGACTTCTAGCGGATAAAGCAGCTGTATTGGTCGTTTCACCACCGTTCCCCCGCTTAGTTTCAAACTGCAGGCCCGCACCCTGCCGTCCCTGCCCTTGAACGTTTCCTTGATTCTGGCGATCTTCCACATGTGTCGTTTGAGATGATCTTCCTTTAAAAGAACTAAATCGTCTATCTTTAGGTCACTCGATGTCGTTGGCCGGGACAGATGCGCCGATCGAAGCTCCAATAAGTACTCTCTCCGCCACCGTCTCCAGAATCCTTCAGCCATGGCAGACCGGTACTTCCAGCGTCGTGAGATATGCGCGTCACCGCCCGGAATTTCGGCTGGCAGGTGGTGTGGAGGAAGGGTTGTCAGCTTTCTTCCGACGAGGAAGTGCGCCGGCGACAGTGGTTCTGGCTCTTGAGCATCATCGTAGGTGAAAGTCAATGGGCGTGAGTTTATTACGGCCTCGACTTCGTACAAGACAGTTGTGAGTTCTTCAAAGCTTAAACTGCTCCGACCTAACACCTTGCGCAACGCTACCTTCACCGATCGCACCAACCGTTCCCAGAATCCGCCCCACCAAGCTGCCCTTTCAACAATAAACTTCCACCTGATCTGGTTTCCGGCGAAGTATGACTGCATTTCCTCTGATTTTAGTAGCGTGAACATTGCATTCAGATCTTTTGCTGCTCTCTTGAAGGTTAGCGCGTTGTCCGAATAAATAGTCGAGCAGATTCCCCTGCGAGCCACGAAGCGCTTGAAAGCCAGGAGAAAGGCTGTAGTCGACATGTCGCTAACGAGCTCAAGATGGACGGCACGTGTCACAGCGCAGGTTAAAATTGCGATGTAACATTTTCGGGCACCGCGCGACTCTTGACAAATCAAAGGTCCTGCGAAATCGATGCCGACAGTGTCGAACGGATTTCCTTCTGTTACTCTGTCAGCTGGAAGTGGTGCCACTGGTTCCGTGGCTTGAGGGCAACTTTGTTTGCGACAGATGAGGCACTGCTTGATAACCTTTTTTTACGGCCTGGCGCCCTCGGATGATCCAATACGACTCTCGCAATGACGCCAAGGTGTCGCGCACCCCTGAGTGTAGCATTCTCACGTGCTCTTTCCTTATGAGCAGTAGCGTGAAGGGATGAGTGCTAGGTAGAATGATGGGATGTTTAGTCTCTTCGTGGTTGTCGGTGAATTGCAAGCGTCCACCAACTCGCATGAGACCTTCCCCGTCAAGGTACGGACTGAGTGGCAGAACAGGAGAGCCTTTGTGCAGTGGTCTTTGGGCTTTCAAGTTGGAAATGTCGTCACTGAATGCTTCTCCTTGAGTTGTTGTCAACCAGTACCTCTCAGCATCGATCACCTCTTCAGCTCGTAGCGGACCACCTTTCCTTTCTTTCCCGCGGCGGCAATTGTTGACAAAGCGGCGGACCCACGCAGTTAAGCGCACGACTCTGCTGCATGAGCTGAACTCCTCTACTTTCAGCACTGCCTCGAACGGCGATGATATTACGGGCATCACCGTCACTTTTCGCTCTTCCAGGTGACATTCTACTGCCCCTGGGCTCTGCTCACCGGTCGTTGGCCAATGCGTCTTATCCTTGTGAAGCCAGTGTGGTCCTCTCCACCACAATTCGCTTTCTAACAAGGCTGATGGGAGGATACCGCGAGTGATTAGGTCAGCGGGGTTGTCTAGTCCTGGGCAGTGCCTCCAATCCTCGGGATCAGTCAGCGCCTGAACCTCTGATACTCGGTTTGCCACGAAGGGCTTCCATCTGGCAGCGTTTCCTTTAATCCAGTGCATAGCCACTGTGGAATCGGTCCAAAGGATGGCAGCAGCATTCTGGAGGTTCAAGGCCTTGGCAACGTAGTGGCACAGTCGAGCACCAATGAGGGCCCCCATCAGCTCTAGTCGGGGTAACGAGAGGCGCTTCAAAGGGGCAACTCTTGATTTGGCCATAATTAGGCTTATATTGATTATTCCTTGAGCAGACTTGCATGCAACGTATCCGACAGCACCGTAGGCCTTTGGGCTGGCATCGCAGAAAATGTGCAACACCTTCTCTGTCTTTTCATCTCGGAAATCCCTTGCGATGATCCTCGGAATGGACACCGCCTTGATGCATTGAAGCTCTTCACACCAGCACCTCCACTCCGCTTGCATCAATTCTGGCAAGGGGTCGTCCCAACCCGCTCCCAACTCCCACAACCTTTGGAACATTGTCTTTACGTACAGTGTTGTAGGAGCGATAAACCCAAAGGGGTCGAAAATTCTGGCTGAGACTTGCAATACGAATCTCTTGCTGTCGGCTCTGGTGGTGAGGAATTCAAGAAGTGAGGTCAGATTGTACTCGAAGTTATCTGTATGAGCATTCCAACCTACTCCCAATACCTTGGTGGCTGCAGGAAGTTCGGCATTTGCATTCCTCTTCGCCACGTTCCCATCCTCTATGAAGTTGACTAAATCGTGGTCGTTAGACATCCACTTGTGGAGCCGCATTCCTGCTTGAGATAATATATCGCTTGATTCCTGGCATAGCACTTTACCCTGTTCGAGGGTGTCGACCCCTGTCACAAGGTCGTCAACATAGAGATGGCTGCGCAGGATGTTCGCAGTCTCAGCATACTGCTCTGGGAGTCCTTCAAGATGGTGTCGTAATGTTGCGGCTAATAGGAATGGGCTGGATGTAACACCGAACGGAACGCGCGTCATCCGGTAGGCCGCCACCGCTGGAAGTTCTTCACCTTTCTTCGGAGTGGCAGCATACCAGAGAAACCGCACAGCGTTCCGGTCACCCTCTGACAGAGATATTTGAAGGAATGCCTTTTCAATATCCGCGACGATGCCGATGTTGTAAGTGCGGAAGTTGATCAACAAATCAATGAGCTCTGGATTAAGTTTTGGACCACTTTCCAAAACATCATTCAGTGAGAGGCGATCTTTGGCACTTGATGATGCGTCGAACACCACCCTCACTTTTGTTGTCAGGCTTTCTTGTCGAACAACTGCTTGATGTGGCATGTAATACACCGGACCTTCCGAAGCGCTGCAATGCTTGTTGGCTGGCTCTGCATAGCCCTTTTCGATGTATTCTCGGATGCAGGCGTCATATTCCACGATCAAGGAATCTCCCTTCAAAAGGCGCGTCGTGTTGGCTCTAAGACGCTTCGCGGCGCACTCGTAGTTGTCGTCGAGCTCATCAACCATAGGCTTCCAGGGGAAAGACACTGTGTACCGCCCATGCTCAAATTTGACGGTTTCTTTGTAGTGCTGTTGGATTGCGTCTTGGTGGCGAGCTGGTTCGTGTTCCTTGATACCAATGTGTTCGAGCTCCCAGAATGACCTCAACTGCGCTGATATTTCTTTGTTAGTTTGTTCGCTCACTGCTACTCGCATTACGCCAGCAACAGAGGGACAGACTCCTGGTGACCTTTTTGCGCCTACCTGGCCCTGGACTGTCCACCCAAATGCAGTTTCTACTGCCATCAGCTTGGAGGTTAGGCGCTTAGTGGATCCCGTGACAATTTCCCAATAATGATCAGCGCCGATCAGAAGATCAATGTTTTCACTTCCGTCACCCTGCGCGACGTCCGCGACTGGCAAGCCAAATTTCGAAAGTTCCAGAAGAACTGACTTTAAAGGCGCAGCCATTATATCTGCGCAGATGCAGGGAACTTCGAGGGCCTCCACTCGCGCCCTTTTCCCGTCGTACTGGCTTTGCAGCCACAGCTCGACCAGACGCGCCTTAGTGCGGGTTATAGCGGACTTGTCGCCGAAGGCATAGATTTTAAGTTCCTCTTCCCCAAGCACGTTCAACTGCAGTCTTTCAGACAACTTGCGATGGATGAACGTCCTTTGACTGCCACCATCTAGGAGAAGCCTGACAAGCGTACTTTTGTGCGGTCCCACTGTCCAAGCTCGTGCTGTTTGCAGAAGAAACCGATGCCCCTCCATGCACATAAATTTCTCCTCTGAGCCTAGAGAAGACTTTAGCACTGTGGCTTGTCCTGTCGCTGGTGGAGAGGATGCATTCTGTTCACCACTGCCACGGTATTCTCTGAAATCAGGATCACACATAGCCGTGAGGTGTTTTCCGCTACAGTTGGCACACCTGAGCCATTTGGCCTTACGGCACTCTCTTGACGTGTGCCCCTTTACTGTGCAGCGGAAACATCTATTCTCACGCTTCAGCATCTCTCTTTTATCAGCTGCCGACATCTCTGCATCGCAGTCACCGCTTTCGTGGCACCCTGACGAACAAAACAGACACCCTTTTCTCTCCTTGGTCATGGTATGCAGTGCAGCGGCTGAAGACATTCTCGCCGCTTTAAAGGTGCTGTTACGGTTTTCGACAGACGATTCTACACACATGCCCCTTGGTGTTTCGGCCCGCTGTATAATCTCCCGTGCCTCTACCTCGACTCTCAAAAAATGCGCAAATGCCTCCAGTTCA